TACTCGTTAGGGTTTAAGGTATTGTCCACCAACTCTAAGTGCATGCCTTTCTCGTATAGTTCCAAGCCTATCATATCAGCAGAGCGGGACATGTATCAGAGGGATAGATAAAAGAAAGCAAAACTTGGGCTAATGTTTTGTTATACATAACTTTTACCAATGAATCAATTAAATTGTTTTTGCTAGGAAATTGACTTTCTAGATGGGTGGGTAAATTTTCTTACTTGTTGAAGGAGGAATTCGCCATCAGCATGATCATCAATCTTTAGTTCACTGTTCTTCTGGCCACTAATGATTTCTAAGACTATAATACCATAACTGTAAGTATCAGCTTTCTCTGATAACTGGCCATGAATTGTATATTCAGGTGCTGTGTATCCCCTAACAAATACATATATTTATGGCATATTTGATTAGTTATACAAATTAACATGGATACACATGATTATGAATATCAAGATGTGGCAAATCTTAAAGACCGTGTCATGTCCAACATACACATATAAAAGAACTTTTCCTTGAAGTATTCATCATGCTGTCAAACAAAGAAAGAAAGATATAGAAAATGTTAAAATTTTCCACTAACCTAAACACTGATTTTATTGATGTCTTGAGCAACAAATGTACTGTGATAACCGTTAAAGGAAATAAATAAAAAGTGCAATAGGTTTTACTTACAGTGTTCCGGCAAATCTAGTGCTAAGATGAGTTTGATCCTGAGGTAAAAGTCTTGCCAACCCAAAATCAGCAATTTTAGGTTGAAAATCATCATCAAGGAGAATGTTGTTAGTCTTTATATCTCTATGTATAATGCAAATATGGAATTCCTCATGTAGATAGGTCAAACCCCTTGCTATGCCTAAGATTATATCATATCGTTGCTTCCAACTGAGAGAACCTTTGTTGCTACCTATCACAAAACTCTAAATGATAAGTGAAAGAAGAGGGAAGCAAATTAAAATAATTCTCTTAAAATGCCTCAATAAAAGTGAAATATGTCATGCATTAATAAGAAGCATGAGGTGATCCTTAAAGAAACACACACACAAACTTTACTGGGTCATATAATATACCAAATAAGTATCTGTTGAGACTGTTGTTTTTCATGTATTCATAAACGAGAATTCTCTCATTGCCTTTGCTGCAGCATCCTAGAAGTCGAACAAGATTTCGGTGGTGAACATTAGTTATTAGCCTCACTTCACTCTCAAATTCTTCATCCATACTGTTGGACTGTCGCATAATAAGTTTCTTGACTGCAATTGTTTTTCCATTTTTCAAAGTTCCCTGTTCAAAATGATTAATAGTTTTAATGATGGAAGTGTTATTAAAAGTTATACATTTGTCTTTTTGAATATATAGATTTCTATGACACTATATAAAACCCAATTAATAAAAGTTACCTTGTATACGGTACCAAATCCTCCTTCTCCTAATTTATTCTTTTCACTGAAATTCTTGGTAGCAGACTTCAACTCCTTATAACTATAATTGATTGAACCTTTCAACTTGGATTCTCCCGTTATCTCACCTGTTAAGGCAAGGACATTTTAAAGTGATCTCTTTAAATGTTTAAAAAACTAGTCAGTAATATTTATCCAGCTATACATACGAAAGTTCATAACATTCTCATTATAAAAAAGTGAAAATGGAAGGGGATCAATAAGCAACTTGCCAACATATAATACTCTTTCTGGTCTTAAATATAAGAGCTAATTGAGAAATTTGCTTTAGTTCTAAATGTGAGATCTTAATTAACAAAATTTCCCCTAAATTTATAGTTTCTAGCCCTAATGATTGCGTATATAGATAGAATCTTGTCTACTAATGAGGATAGTTTCCTGATTAGATGGTGTTTTTTTTTTAAGGAAAATCAACACATAGTTTTTATAAATAACTAATTTAAGTATTTAGCATTTAATGTCGGCAAATTAACCATCTAGCTATTACGTTTGGGACTAGAGTGAAGACTCATCAAATTAACTAGTTACCTCTAGGAACCCTTTCAATCTTTTCTGACCGTCTAACACGCTGCATCCAGGCAAATAATGAAAGAAGAACCAAAAAAAGAGCCACACCTCCACCAGCAACTCCACCAATAATGGCCGCTTGTGTTGCTTCTGGAACCTGCAAGTACAAGAAACCAGACACCTCATTTTGAAATGAGTCACTCACGAAGAACCATTACTACATCTAAAATAGAACCACACCTCTCAAACCTTTCAATTCACTGTATATACCTTGTTTGGATAAGGGTGTGGTATTAATAATGGTGAGGTTATCAGGAAAGAAGGAAGTGGTGGAGTATCTGATGAAACAGCCGGCATCAAAAGCCCTCCCATCTGAATTGGGAAGGCAAGTCTGCATAGTGTCGTAGCCTTGCTTCAAGCAACCCTCGCAGCCACTCTGTGAGATAGTTTCAGTACATTGTGCATAGGCATAAATGGTTGTGTTGATATTATTATTGTCAGGCACTTCTGGCGTCTTTGTGGCTGCAGAGAAACCAGTGATTCTGGGTGTTTCTGTTTGAAGATTCATTAGCACTTGTCGAATAATTGAGTTAAATGTTGTTGTGGCTACTTCTGGAGTCTGATTTCCACATGATGCAGAATTGAAAGACCCTGTTGCTTGCTCAAAGAAATTGCTGCTCTCATACCTCAACGGACACCACAAAGTATTATATCCCATGTCAGTATTAAGAAGCTCGGTATGGGTTTGCTATCAACTATAATGAACCTTTATTTGAGAGCACAAATTTTAGGGGAAAATGGTCAAGAAGTCCATGCTTATAAAATTAATTGGTGCAACCTGTCTTAAATGGGTGCAACTTTTCCTTAACTGTGTGCACCAAAATAAAAGAGATATAAAAATATCTGAAAATATATTGCACATGACTAAAATGCGACCCGCTTAAGGATTTGGATCATTAGGTAGCTTTGCACATTAATTTTCTAAATCAGAAACTTTTTACCAATTTTCTCTAAATTTTATCGTTTGATTTCGCTGACATGTTTATGGCTTCTCAATAGTACTCCTTTGATTCTTAATATAGGATCTAATTATTGTATTAATTTTGATACTAAATATAAGACTTACTTCTCATATTTATAAATTCTTCTTAAATTTTTTTAGTGATACTCTCTCAATCATAATTACTTTCATTTTTTTTTTTTTTGTTCGAAGGTCACTTAAGCACCTTTGGCTGGCAGCTGCCCACTGGAGCTTCAGTGGCTTCTCAAATTTCACTATTTACTATTTTTGTTTGTAGAGCTTTGGTGACTACTATTGTTTAACTAGTGATTACACCAGTTTTAATAGTAATTACTTTTGGTTCTAGAGCTCTAGTAACTATTCTAGTTTTGTTGTTTACAGCTTTTATTTTTAGAACTTCTGTTACTACTCCTGTTTAGCTACACTACTCTTATACCTGAAGTGTGACAATAAACTACTCTCAGCGAATATATTTGCAGGGTAAAGTGTGGTATTAAAATAAAATGGGTGGAAAAAAAAAACAACGATATTAACAAAAGTAGTAATAGAAGCTGCTAATATATGTTTTTTTCTTCAAGTTTTTGAAATGAAAATAGCAAATAGTGAAACTAGAGTAGTAAATAATTAAACGAAAATAGTCACTAAATCTTCGGCAACTCCTAGTATATTTTTCAAGTTTTTGAAACTAACAAAAGTAGTTAATAAAAAATCTAGACTAGTCATCAATCAGTAGCTGTATAAAATAATTACTACAGTTTCATAGATAAAAACAGTAAATAGCAAAACTAATCACTGTGCAACTGAAATACTGAACTAATAAATCTGAGTAGTTTGTCAAATCACACAAAAAAATAATAGTGTCTGCGAATTTGTGGTCATTGGCTGCAATTTTTTCACTAATTGTCTTCTTATCTTTCACATACAATACAACTTGCATCTGTGGCCTCCCCACCACCCCATCAGCACGACGCACTGTAATAATCTTGTGGGCACCAGTTTTATTTTTCAACAATGACGGCAAACACAATGGACCCAGACCCTATTTATGTCTGTGTCATCGCTCCCAATACACACACACACACACACACATATTTATATTACCCACACGTGGACGGGCTTTCCGTGAGTCCGTGGGAATATTAACTTCTTTTTATATAGATAGATATATATATATATATATATAATATTCAAAGGTTAATATCAACTTTAGCCCTTACTTTCACTTTAGTTTAGTTTTGATCTCTCCGGTTTTTAACCTATAGATTTTAGTCTCTTAAGCTTTTTTTTTTTTAATTTAAAACCTTAGTTCTTACAATTTTTATTTGGATCATTTTGTTGTTTGAGGAATGAAAATATGATTATGAAATTTGAGGGATTAAAGAGACCAAATTTAGTGGGTATAAAGATTATATTAACCTGATATTCAAATAGATATTTTATCCTTCGAAAGATATCTCTAATCAACCATTTGAAAACAAGGGAAACTTGAATTTGGCGGAGGGCCCGGCGATACGTACCTGAGGAAGCAGCCGTCGTAGATGACACGAGCAGCGTTGGCCGAGCAGTTGCGGATTTGAGCGACAGCGACGGTGAAGCAGGCGACACAGTCGGCGACGGAGAGATAGCTCCTGCACTGAAAAAGAGCGAAAACGGGGGTGGCTCCGCTGGCTTGCTGCGCCTTGGCGACGTGTTTGCTCTGGTTAGCGATCTGATCTCTGAGATCTCCAAACGCTGCGTTTAGGCTTTGATTGAAGGAATTAGCATCCATAGGATCGAATCTGTTGTACTGGAAGCAGCCAGAGTTGAGAAGATTGGTCTGGGGGTCGGAAACGACGCCGTTGCAGGATATGAAGGTAGTAAATAAGAGAAGAAGGAGAGTAACAGGTTGAAGCGTGAGCATGGTGCTGCTGTGGAGAGAGAATGAAGATGAAGAAAGAAATGAAGAGAGGTCATTTAAGTCAATGGGTCTCTCAGTTAACTATAGGAATATCATTTTTTTTTTTCCTAATGAAAAAGGCGAAATGATATATTAATAAAATAAAAAGGTTCTACTTCTACAGCTCAGCAAAAGAATTAGAGGAGCAGGTGATTGAAAACGACTAATTAATTAAAATGAGGCTTCATTTTCGTGCCAAGACTTGAGAGGAGAAAGGACAAGTCGTTTTTATATAAGGACTTTCTTTATAAAATTATCATGTAGGACCAACATTCTTCAATAAAGATTAAAAAAGTCAGTAAAAAATTCTTATTTAAAAATTTTGTTGGTGAGAAAGACCCGATATGTTTTTACACACATAAAGTTTCAATACTATATATGATTTCAAATACAGAAAATAAAGATATTCAAATCCAGGTCCTTCTCACTAACAAAATTTTGGAATCAGAATTTTTCATTGATTTCCTCAAAATAAAAAGACGTGTAATATTAATCACCGACATATTTATGAGATAACTAATTTATCCCATTTACTCATGTATGAGAAATTTAGCACTAGTGTTAAGTTTATACATAAGGAATATTCTTTATATGACTACTTTTTGGGTCAACAAGCTCATTCACATAGACCAAGAAATAACAGTTATATTATTAAATGTGTTTCAAAAGTATAAAATTTTTTAATCCTACCCTTATGACAAATTTCAGGAAGCTAGTGAAAAATTATTTACATGAGTAATAATAATTTGTAACTAGGGGTAAACTAGAAAAAAATTCATTAATGACCCTGTTAATACCTTATAATAAGAACCAAAATTTTCTTCTAGATAACTCCTTATAATAACGACTAGTGGGAGTATAAATTTCTTCATGTGCCCGACTTTTAGATTTCCTATATGTTTCATCATAGTTATTTCAGTCATTAGATTTTTTTTTTAAAAGTAGAATCTAGGATATGTAGAAGGGAAAATAACCAAAAAAAAAAGAAGCTAAAAATTACTAGATACCAAATAAAGAATATTAAAAAAAATTTGTTATTATTTACAAATTCAGTGTTGTCAACGGTAAATAAAGTATTGTTACTAAACATAATTTGGGATTTAATAATTTTCAGTTTTGTTTTTTTGTCATTTTTCCTATGTAGAATAATAAGGTCCTTGATTAAAATTAAACAAGTGAGATTGACTTGTACCACGGCCAACTAGGACGTACATTAGGAAATTGGGGGGGGGGGGTGGAATTAAAATTAAATTTCTTTTTGATTCCGGTAGAAACCCATTAGTTTCGAAACAGAAGCTCGCACTCGGCTCGCATTAGTCCACAACTCTAATCATTAAATTTGGATTTTGCTTTTGAGAAAAATTGGACAGAAAAAGTTTAGGAGTGTAACTCTAGGTCGTAATTAATTAGAGTCGAATTTTCAAATTATTAAATACGAGGGAGACTTTTTTTTTTTTTGGCCAGACGAGGGAAACATGGTTTTAAAATTATGTTAGCATGTTTCCCACCTTTATAAACCTATGAGCTGCCAGTGCTCATCCTTAAAACAGGTAATCACAATAAATATTATCTTTCTCTTGTCTTATATATAAAATACAAATAATAAAATTAAGAAAATAGAAAATTTGTTTAAAATAACGGATATGTAAAAAGTGTTTTATTTTTCAACCACCTTATTAAATAAATAATAATAATTTTTGCAATCCATGGAGGCTGAAGGGAGTTATAATTTACAGCGTGGAAGCACATTAATGATAGTTACATTACTAAGTGTAAATTATAATTGTGAAATAGTCAGCATTAATTGAATAATTGTTCCATGTGAATGATTTGGGCCGAAAGATGAGTAATGTCTCTACTGGGCCGGGCCCATAATCCAGACGCTAAGTCCAATTTTAGCCCACCAACTTCTCCACCCGTAGGGATTGGTTTTAGTGTTCAAAATGGTGCCCCCACTGTATTTAAAAAAAAACTCCCAAAATAATCACCCATTGATGAACATGCTTTCTATTTATAAGACTGATGCATAATTACACAAAAATACTGGGGAATAGAATGATTTTCGGTTTTAATTAGCTTCAATCAATATAGGCTTTGTAATTTGTAAATTTTATGTTATTTGATAACTTCAGAGATTGTTTGCCTTGGATGCAAAAGTAAACCAATTGCTACATTTGTTTTTTTTTTTTTTACCTTCCCGTGAGATAAATAATTTCACCATTGCCCAGCCCCGTAATATGTTTTCACCCCAGAAAATGACTGAGCCCACCAATCTACTGGGCTCATATTGTCATTTGCCATTAAAAAATTCCAAAAACAAGCGAGTCACATAAATCTGTTATTATTTTTTATCGTAGAATTTAGTGTTAAGGTGCATGATCTAGCACTTTGAACTTCTTTTCGGATACATCCAGTTCTGTAAACTATTTTGTTCTTTGCAGTTTCATCCGTGCCAAAGGTACCTTAACCATAGAATTTATTATTGCATGTTATTCACTTTTTATGTATGAAACTTTTTCATGATTACATTTCTTCCTGGTTAATAAATTCATTTTTTTAAATATTAATAATTAGAATAATATTTTTAACTCAGACTTTCCAATTCCATACGTCTGTTAAAATAAGAAATCGTCGTTAATATTAAAATAAAAAAATTAAATCTGAATTATTCGAATTTAATCTTACGGACGATGATGAGAATGGAAATGAATTCCTTCCAACTACACATATATTGTTTTCACCCACACACACACACAAAAAGTATAAGCAAGGGACAGAAAGGTTTCCCCACAAAATATCCATAGTTGTTACTTAAAAATTAAAAACAGAATTGAATATTTGTCGGGTTTCAATTTTAAAATGAAGAGCAAATAAGATGAATTTTTTACCAAGATCCTACAAACAATAAAATAAAATACCAGTATGCTATGCTTTGAAGAATAATTGGGAGATGTTATATTTAAAATCGTTCAGAGAGTGAACGAGTTTGAAAATACAAACTTCCTATATCATATTTTATTTTTTTGACAGGATTTCAACTTCCATCATCACACAACCCCATGTTCCCATCTTGACCCCGACTTTTATTTTTTCTTTTTATTTCCTCTCGCACGCCCCAACCCTCAAGTACGCAGTGTGGCATTCTTCCCCTTCTCAAATTATCCTTGCTCAATCCTTAACATGGGAGCCGCATCACGCATGCCCCTTCTTCTTTCTTTCTTATTTTCTTCTTTCATTTTCCATTTTCTTTCTTGGTTTTTTTTAATCCTATTGGAGTTATCTCATTATGCTAAAAACTTAATGAAATAGTTTTTAGCAGATATTTGCTTTTTTATTCTTTATTTTTCATAAATAGGTATAAAAATAGGCTAACATTTAATGAGATAACTTTTGGTAGAGATGTACTATTTTATCCTTTATTTTTCATAAATAAGTATCAAAATATGCTAAAAATTAAATGAAATGACTTAAATAGAATAAAAGATATTTTCTCTCTACTTTATAAGCAAGGCTAGAGGAGTATATTTGGTTTGTATGGTAAAAAAGGTTTATATTTAGGACCAGAAGAATTTTTTTATTTTTTGCTTTGCAGGAAAACATAAACCAAGATTGTAAAAATAAAACAACACATAGGAAGTTGTTCTTGCTAGGAATGTCTTCTTTGTAAACTTGTTCACCCTCTGAACGATTGTAAATGTAGCATCTCTGTAATTATTTTTCAAAGTATGGCACTTTTGATATTTTATTTTACTGTTTGTAGGATCTTGGTAAAAAAGCCCAAATAAGATATAATTATTCGAACCAATGTTCAAGAGAGATTAACAAAGTTTATTAAAAATGGTGCTCCCACAATAATCACCAATTCATGAACATGCTTTGCATTTCTAAGATTGATATATAATTACACAAAGATGTTGAACAACGGAATAAAAGACATGATCGTTTCCCGTTTTATGCTTCTTCTGTTTAGCCTTTTTCAATTGTGTGATTGAGACTCCAAAGTCACACTTAGTTGTGAGTTTCTTGCAAATCATAATTATCTCCCAATGGACTTTTACTTAGCTTCAATCAAAATAGGCATTGTGGGTTTTACGTTATTGGATAAACCCTTCTTTTGGAGCAAAACAACTACTTCAAACATTGACGGCCTTAAATCCGCAGATGCTTGGGTGCAAAGCAAACCGATTTCTATGATTTGTTTCACTTCCTCTGCATCATAATCATTAGGGTTTAGGGTCTCATCCACCACCTCCAAGTGGATGCCTCTTTCATATAGTTTCCAAGCCTACCAAGTGGGATTAAAATGTAATTGAGTAATAAGAAGGTTAGAAAAAAGATCACAGCAAAACTTATTTTACTGTTTCTTAAATAGTTATTGAAATTGTATTATGATATAGGAGGAATAGCTTTTCCTAAAGGAGTCAAGCTCCATTGATAAGAAAGTTATATATTTATATCGCCTGAAAAAAGAAAAGAAAAGAAAAAAAAAAGTTGTTTGTAAATAGTCAAGGAAATTTCATCACCTTTCTAAGGAGGAATTCACCTTCAGCATCGCCATCAAGTTTTAACTCATTATTTTTTTGGCCGCTAACAATCTCTAGGATAACAACACTAAAACTATAGATATCATCCTTTTCTGACAATTGACCATGGGTTACATATACTTTGGAGCTGTATATCCTCTGCAAAATGCATAATATTAATGATGTCATTGACTAGAATACGACTCAAGCTAACATAAATGAAAATATTTAGAACAAAAGAAAAATCTAAAATTGTCATATACAACACAAATTATCGTACGATGTTCCACTTATGAATAATATTCCGAAGTATTCATAGCGTACGAAGGCAAAAAAAAGTAGTTAAATATATTGGTGCAATAGAAGCCTTTCAATAATCAAGAATTAGAATAGAAGTTAATAAATTACAGAATAAAATTATTCAGACTTACAATGTTCCTG